GATGGCATTGGATTCATCCGATGTGTTAATTCAATCCAATTCTCTAACAATGATATAAATTCATTAATCATTTTTAATATGTGTTAAAATCAACACAAGGAAAGTTAAAAATTCAAAACCTTGGCCACAAGGGTGGTGCCCGATTAGTTTGAGCTTGGACTCCAAAGATCAAAAGTGTCTGGAGGTCTCAGGTTCGAATCCAAGGAGGAATAAAAGTTCTCTTGTGGTCATGGAGATTCAAATGCGGTGACTCCGGACTACTCACGGAGCGGGAGTCGCCTTGGGATTAGTCGGCTTGCATAACGGGTTGGATTTCAGGTTAATAAAAAAAATTCAAAACCTCACAAAATAAATTCCTATTTAAGCAATTTGAAAACAAATTAATTAGATGATAGTTGGATAATGGTTGGATGGATAACTGGATGATAATCGGATGATTAATTGGATTTATATGATACTTAATAACTTTAAAAAAAAATTAAATCACAATCAAAAATAATTATTTATGAATATTTTAATAAAATTGGAATTTAGTATCCCAATAAAATTCTAATAATTCCTAGATATTAAAATTGGATACCATAAAATTTATTTTATGAAATCTAAATATCGATAATCTAATTAAAATAATTTTGGTACTTTTCTTAAAGAAATTAATCGAATTAATAATTCATAAAAATGAAATAAAATTAAATTATTTAATAAAAAACAATTGTATTAATTCTTTCGAGAATTCTATAATTCATGCGATCTTTGATAACAAGTGTATCGTGTGTTATTTTATATGATCTTTTTTCATCTATGACTAGAATTTAATATGTTGATTAACGTATATTTGTTTCATAGTATGTTTGTTTTATATGTATTCGATTCACAACAGTGGCAGATCCAGAAACTTTTACTATTGGGGGCACATTTAAGAGTGTAAAAGAAAATTCTGAAACCAAATAACTCATTGGAACCAATACGATTTCGGGTTATTTGGTTTCTGGATTAAACGGTTCAGTTATCGAATAAAATATAACTTATTCGGTTTGGTTTTCAATTAATTTTTGACTATTTTGGATAAACCGAGACATCATATTGCCATGCACATATTTTACTTTTCGGTAAAACCAAAGCAAATGAGATACATAAATTTAGATTTGGAACAAAATAAGAAAAATAAAATGCTTTTCTACAGATCGAGACTTGGAACTTAAAGACGTTTAATTGATTCTTAAAGTAATGACTCATTGAAGTAAAAGTTATAAATGAGATACATAAATTTAGATTTGGAGCCTTACCTTTAATTGTTGGGGGACTATTAATAAATTTTGGTTAAAAAAAATTAAAACCTACCACTCATGCTTTATTTGGGTGTGTATTGGGGTTATCTTGTTGGGGGCTTGTGCCCCCTACCCCTTTAGTGTGCATCTGTCGTTGGTTTACAATGTGGAACTTTTTGAAATGTTTGTAAAACAAAAATTACACGTAAAAAAGTTCTTTATTGTGAACCGAATACATGTGAAACAAATATATGTTAATTAATACTTTAGATAATAAAATATATAAGAAAAAAAATGTGAAACAAAACCTTAAGATAGAAGTTCGTACGAATCCGACAAATTCTAAAGTTTTCAAATAATTAAGCTTCTATATTAATAATAAACTAGAAGGATACTCATGCAATGCAGCGGGATATATTTCGATTTTAATGTTTCATTTTATTCCGTCTCTGTGGATGTTTTAATATGGTTTTTATGTGGTTTTAATATGATTATTCTAATTATATTTAGATTTTTTATATTTAAAATAAAATATTTATCTTGTATTTAACTATGTTTATCTGCAGTTAGTTACACGAATTCAAATATGAAGCTTTAATAAGTCGTACTTACACACAATTTACTTGTAATATCAAATTTTAAGTAATATGCATTAATAAACAGTACTTCATGCATAAAGAATATGTTTGAAGAGTTCTTGTCAAATGTTTTATAGTATAGATAACAATAACCCAATTTGAAAATAGGATTGGGCTCCCGTAGTCAGCCCACAAGCGAAATGATGAACGGCCCAACAAAATGTGCTTCGAGCAAGTCCAGGAGATAGAACCGGATAGCTGGGTGGGCTCTTAACAGCCCGTATACTCATCACGGACCCGACCCAAGAATAGAAACACACATATTTATGATATGTCTAGTTTGGTTCGACCCATAAATCTGACCCGGTTCCTTCTCGTCGACCTGGTGTAATAGGACAACAACGAGGGTCATTTTTTAGTTAATTTTAGCCAAATGAGTGGTCGTCGAGCCACTATAATGTCCTTAGATCATCACTAAAGGATTCTACTATAATCATACAACTGACAATAAACCATCAATTGCAAGTTCAGCAAAAAAAAACGTACTTTAAGTCGAAGTTAATTCTGTAAGATCCATAACTCCACTTCGCAATTAACAATTGTCTCAGAATTCGCTCGTCTCTTGAATTTCCACGTAGGTTTTAACCCTTAAAGAGAAAAGAATTAATGTTTAAAAATTCCAACAAAAAATCTGTTGCAGATAAATGTAATCTTCTTTAGGAGTTATAATTTTTGGTTCTTATACGTATCTTCTCATTTCTATCCTAATTAACTGCCCTTGTGTTTTTGTCTTAGTTGCTTTAAATGATTATCTTTTATAAGAAACTAGAAGGGTACTCACGCAATGTAGCGAGATAAATCTCGATATTAATGTTTAGTTTTTATTCTTTGTCTCTATCGATATAACACGATTTTAATTAGTTTTGAGAAAACAATAATGTTTGTATTTTTGAATGAAATATAAATTTGAAGATAGCATACAAATTTGAAAAAAAAAATCGATATTAGTATCAAATTAACTATTTACTGGTTCTCTTTTTTTGGTGTAACTTCTTTGATTCAATTTTTTTTATTACAACTTAATTTAGATTTAATAACAAAGTAATTTAGTTTTGGTCTAATAACATATTTTTTTTATAAAGATAATAATTAAATATTCTGTTAGAACTCAATGATTATTTTAATTATATTTTAGATTTTCTATATTTAAAATGGATGTTTATCCTGTATTTGATTATGTTTATCTGCATTTAGTTCACAAATTTAAAGATAAAGCTTTAATAAGTTGTATTTATGCAAAATTACTTGTAATATTGAATTGTAAGTAATATACATCAATAAACAGTACTTTATGTATAAAAAGTAGTTTTTAAGAATTTTTGTCAAATGCTTCATAATATAATATAGATTAGAGAGGGATAAGAAGATTTTTATCTCCGATTTGAATTTCATTATGTTTTCGATTTTGAAATGGTTTAGTTTACGAACCCAATAATTAATACAACCCATAAAAACCAATTAATTGAGATATTTATGAAAATGATGAGGGTTTATTTATTATGATCTGGATATTTTATGAAAGATTATCAGAGTTTATTTATCATGATCAAATTTTTTAATCAGTATATAACCGAGATATTCATTAGATTAAATGGACAATTGATATTGATTTGTATAATTTATACTAATTAGAAGGTTTGTATTTGAAACACCTTCTCGTCGTTTATGAATTTACACATCAAATCTTACTAAATAGTTATTTTTAGGGAAATTGACTAAAATAGTCAATCTTATCAATCAAATTTACTTTTTAGCCACTTTTCAGAGTCTATTTCCAAAATAGTCGGTCTTTACTCAGATATCTTAAAATATAGCCACCTTCTTTTTGAGTCATTAAGTTAAATGACCATTTTCTTCATTCAAAATGATTTTAGCATTTCTTTCTTGGGTTGACCCAAATGTTATTACTTCCGCAATATCCAGGTCTGCAATAGCTTAAGGCCAAACAAAATCAAATTCAGCACAAATATACAATTTCGACGGTCAGATAAGTAATTGTGACGACCAGGTGCACAATTGTGACGGTAACTGGTTAAATTTTGACCTTTTTTTTTGTCTTTTAGCTAAGTCCATGATATTACGGACCTGGATATTGCAGATGTAGTGATATTTTGGTCAAATTGAGAGAGAAATTGTTAGAAAACCAATTTAGATGAGGGAAATTGTGATTTGGGCCAATTTCTCTTTTCTTCTCAAAGAAGTCCGGAATCCCGTAACTGTGATACTGCAAGCCACCTTTTGCTTGTGGTGTCAGACTTTTTTTTAACATATTCTATGAAAAAAGAAAATTATGTTTTCCGAGGATAAAACCGCAACTTGCAATGACGCGGGCCAAATCGAAAAACACAATCTAACTAACAGTTTTTGAAAATCCATGTTTTCCTTGTCCGAGTGAATGGATGGAAAGAAACTAAGAAATCTCTATATAATAATGAGTAAAAAAGGTAAATTTATAAACCCATACCTGCAAATAAAAAAAAAAGTCGAACCGCAAGTTGCGGTTTAAGCTTGAGGCACCACAAGTTACAGTTTTACCCTCGGAAAAGGTAATTTTTTCCAGCAAAAGTCCGATACCACAAATAAAAAGTGAGTTACGATGTCAGTCTTTCGGGTCAATGTATGAAGTTGAAAAAAAAGCAAGGGGCCGTTTATCAAACACTTACCTGAGTAAGCGATTACCAAGTCATGTTACCTCACCTAATGAATACGGTAAGAACTAATAATCTTACCCGGTAAGAGCGAGAAGCGAGACAAGAACCATGAATCTTACCCAGTAAGTAAGAACGACGACTCTTATCACGATAAGCGTTTACCAGGTAAATTATTGCATAAATGTTGTTTTGGTAGACTAAAATTTTACCCAATTAATAAATAATAATGTTAAATTTTACTGGTAAGGAACCGCGGCTAAATTTGATGGCTAATTTTTGAAAAAGGTAACAAAAATGCCATTTTGGTTAATTGCTCTCTTTTTGGTGCATCAAATCAAATAATCGGACACTATCAATCAACCACACTGATTTAGCATCACAAAGTGGAGTTCAAGATCAAGAAAGAAACGAAACAAAGACCTCAAACCACATAAGCATTCAGTTCGCCAAGAACACGCACTAGTGTGTGCTTTCAGGGAGTGATTAAAGAGATCGGAAACAAGAAACATTCACTGCTGAGTTTGAATTTGAATGGGAGTTCGAACAACAAAGTCAATGAGTGTGTGAGTGTGGGATTGATTCGATGTTGGTCCAACAAGATAATTTAACCCCCAATCTCAAATCATCATCACTACCAAGAACCATTCATCCAAATCGGTTTTCCCCATCTAAATCACTCGATTTCTCCACTTGGGTTTCCCAAAATCTCTACAAGATCGCCACCGTTGCCATCCTGATCGCCACCGTCGCAGCCGTATTCTTCCTTCGTAACATCGGCGACTCCGCTACATTCTTCTGCTTCCAATCAGAAATTCAACAACTCGAAACCATCCATTTCCCCCAAATTAGTTATGATTCCATCGTACCCATCACGGATAACACCACCCCTTACTCAAGATTCAGATCAGACCAGTGGATTGTGGTTTCAGTATCGGATTATCCATCGGATTCGCTTAAGAAGCTGTTAAACATCAAAGGATGGCAACTTCTGGCCGTCGGAAACTCAAAAACTCCTACTGATTGGAGTCTTAAAGGTACTATCTTCTTGTCCCTTGAAGATCAAGCCAAATTAGGGTTTAGGGTTGTTGATTACTTGCCTTACGATTCATACGTTAGAAAAACTGTGGGCTATTTGTTTGCTATCCAACATGGTGCCAAGAAAATCTTTGATGCTGATGATAGAGGAGAAGTGATTGATGATAATATCAGCAAGCATTTTGACGTTGAATTAGTAGGTGAAAATGCTAAAAAAGAGATCATATTGCAGTATAGCCATGAAAACCCTAACAGAACTGTTGTAAATCCTTATATCCATTTTGGTCAAAGATCTGTTTGGCCAAGGGGATTGCCATTAGAGAATGTAGGCGAAATCGAGCATGAAGAATACTACAATGAGGTGTTTGGTGGGAATCAGTTTATTCAACAAGGGATTTCAAATGGTTTACCAGATGTTGATTCGGTTTTCTACTTCACAAGAAAACAGAATCTTGAACCATTCGATATTAGATTCGATGGACACGCACCAAAAGTTGCATTTCCTCAAGGAATAATGGTACCCGTGAATTCTTTTAATACAATCTTCCATTATTCGGCGTTTTCAAGCTTAATGCTTCCTGTTTCGATTAGTTCAATGGCTTCTGATGTGTTAAGGGGTTACTGGGCACAACGGATTTTGTGGGAAATAGGTGGTTTTGTTGTGGTTTATCCTCCCACAGTCCACAGAAATGATACAATTGAATCATACCCATTTGCAGAAGAGAAAGATCTTCATGTGAATGTGGGCCGTTTGATTAAGTTTTTGGTTTCTTGGAAAACCGATAAGCATAATTTGTTCGAAAAGATACTGGAATTGAGCTACGCCATGGCCAAAGAAGGGTTTTGGTCAGAAAAAGATGTGAAGTTCACCGCTGCGTGGATTCAAGATTTGATTGCTGTTGGCTATCTGCAGCCACGATTAATGGCACTAGAATTACACAGGCCAAAAGGAGGTATTAATCATGGGGATCGAAAGGATTTTGTACCTCAAAAACTACCATCCGTTTATCTTGGGGTCGAGGAAACAAGTACAGTAAATTATGAAATAGGGAATTTGGTTCGGTGGAGAAAGAACTTTGGGAATGTTGTTCTTATAATGTTCTCTAGTGGACCAGTTGAACGAACTGCTTTGGAATGGAGATTGCTCTATGGAAGGATATTTAAGTCTGTAATTATCTTATCGGATAAGAAGAATCCCGAGCTTATGGTTGAAGAAGGTCACCTGGATCATCTATACAAGTAAGTTTGGACATTTTGTTTTTAGCAATGTTTAATCTTTTTTGCATGTTTAATCTCTTTAGCAAATTTGGTGTAGAAATCTTGAAGATTGAGCTCATAATATGCACATTTATTGCGTTTTTAAAAGAGTAATATAATCCATTATGGAAATCTGATCACTACAATAAGATCGGTGTCATAGAACACCAAATATGTCTGAATGTCCTAATAGAATGCTTTATAGGACTTAAGTTTATAGAACCAAACAATATGCGTCTTACATAAAGTGTTGCCGTAGGATGTTGGGATGTATTTGCGCATCCTTAGAAGTTTCTTAGGACGTTTATGGAATAAAATGTCTATATTAGCTTTTCTATAAGAAACTTTTGAGAAGTGTGCTATTACACATTTTTTATAGGATACTTGTTTTTTTATAAGATCTTTAAATAATATCATATAAAGAAAGTGTCTTAAAGAAAGTGTTAGGACCATCAGAAGCATCCTATCAACTTATTGTAATACTTTTACATATGACAGACAATTGTTTGGTTCAATAAAATTAAGTCCTATATAATAGTCTATTAAGACATTCACACATATATTTTTTTATCAACGTGGATACCCAACCTGCTATGCGAGCCGACTAATTCCAGGGCGACCACCTGCTTTGCAGATAGCCCGGAGTCACCGCATTTGAACCTCCGTGGCCACAAGGGGATTTTTATTTCTCCTTGGATTTGAACTTGGGACCTCCTGGTACTTTTGACCTTTGGAGCCAAGCTCAAACCAATCAGGCACCACCCTTGTGGTTACATTCACACATATTTGGCATCCTGTATAGCAGAGTTTGTTATTATGCTAATGGTTCCATAAGCGGTCTATTAAGAAATTTAGACATATTTTCACCTTGTCGGATATTTGTTTTCCATTTGTACAGGCAATTTCCAAGATTGTTTGATAGATTCGCAAGTGCAGAAGGGTTTCTGTTTCTTCAGGACAATACAGTTCTTAATTACTGGAATTTGGTACAAGCAGACAAGACCAAGCTCTGGATAACGGACAAGGTACTTCATTAAGAATCCGAACATTTGACTTTTACGTGTAGTTTATGGAAGTGTTTGACTATAAGTCAAATGTCTAAAGTACCCATTACTTATGACAAAATTGGGAGTCTTGTAGATTAATTTGGTGGGCAAATAAGTAACTTAAGAGTTTTTCTGAGTAAGAATGATCCTCCCACGCTTTCCTATTATGGTATACTTATTCTATACTTACCCAAATAAGATTTCTTTCCAAAAATTAACACTCTTCTCCTTGCAAGGGATATCTCCCTATTTTTCCTTCAAGAAAAAAGAGTGATCCGACCAATTTACCGCTTATTAAGTTGATTTGGAAATCTTGCAGAAAAAACTTTCCTTTTAAAGAAAGTTGAAATTTGGTCAACCAAAAAAGGGGTGGGAATTATGTAAGCCAAACCACTGGTTCAATATATCCCACTTGGGGATGGGATCTGAGATGTATGTAGGTTTGACCTCTACTCTAGACAGTAGAGATTGTTAGGAACCATGCGTTGATAATAATTTGACAATCCCTCTTTGTAGGTATCGAGATCTTGGAGCACTGTTCCATTTGATGGCAACAAGGATTGGTACGGAAAACAAGCAGAGATGATCAAGAAAGTCGTGAGCTCAATGCCGGTACATCTCCAGGTCAGTTACAAGGACCATACAAAGAACCATGACTCTACCCTGACGGTTTGTAGTTCCGAGGTGTTCTATATCCCTCGAAGGCTCGTGGTTGACTTCATTGACCTCGTAAATCTTGTGGGCGATCTTGATATCCACCAGAAAGTTGCCATTCCTTTGTTCTTTGTAGCAATGGATTCCCCTCAGAATTTCGATTCGGTTTTTAACACGATGGTTTTTAAGCGAAAACCGGCTTCAAATACGAGTTTGAGTTTCTATTCTCCTGAAGCACCTGCGGTTCACCCGTTGCGTGTTTCGAATGAGCAAGAATTCATAAAGCTTATTAGAGCAATGGCTGCTGGTGATCCTCTTTTACTGGATGTGGTTTGAGATGGATGATAGGATTGCATTAGGGGTTGTACTTTTGGCTGCATTCTTTGTACCATTCTTTTTTAGTGATGATTGTGGTTCTTGGGTGAATTCTTGCTGGAGATTTGGGTGTTTTTATAGTGTGAAAAAGGAGGGGGAAATGCAGGAAAATGTGTATTAACTAGTTTAGAGTGAAATACATAAAGGGTCCCTTGTCTATCATCTAACCTTCAATGTTCATCCCTTGCCTATCAGTTTTGTTATCGACAATCCTCCGATGAAATCTTTTATCAGGGATGAGGCGGGGTTTGTCGTCCTTGTCCCCATCCCTTGTTCTCGTACTTTATCTGTCTCTGGCTATCAGAGACGAGTGTCTCTTTGACTCCAGACTGGAAACTTGGTACTCGGTTTGCAGGGAATACCTATTCCCGATCGATTCACCCGTCTAGGTCGTGATGATAAAGAAAAATGCCTTTGATAGGGGTGGGAATAAGCCGTGGTTCATTGCCTCTGTCCCCGTCCCCAGTTATTAGAAACATGTGTATCCCCAGGCTCGAGACCCGGTCGGTGTGGGTGAAGGTGAACCGGGTACCCGCCTAGAGTCGGGCCGATCACCATCACTAATTTTCATGACGATTTATATTTTCATTTTTTATTTCTTTTTCAAATCTAAACTTAAAAAAATATGGATTTAAAGCATATTTTGATTCATCCATAGATTGGATGTGAGATATAACCGGTTCTTCGATATCTATTTCTCCAATGGTTTCAATATTTGTTTGTTAAATCCTTAAATCTTTATTTTTCAAGTCTTTGATATCAGCCGTTTTCGGTGCTTGGACTAATTCTTGACCAATTAATGGCTCTTTGGACTAGTCTTTATTCGATCGAAAGTGATTCTCAGTCGACTGAACGAAGTCCACCCTTTTCAGGCATGCCTTAGTCCTTGGTCCAGAATATGCTAGATTAAGATCCTGAACCACAAATTAAACACAACCAACAATATATTCTACGACTACAAAAAATAGTTTACTACTTTTGTCATTTATTGAGTCACGTCATAAAGATGCACAAATGTAATAAACTCAAGATTGATAAAATTACTGAACTACTCCTGTCAAATTAAAAACCTGAAAACCTTGCATAATATTTTCACGTCTCCCTCACTCTCGTATGACCAGTATTGCCACGTCCAGTTCTATCTAGTCCCTTCTGCATACCAAAAGCATGGAAATATCTACATATATCATACGGCATACCCTAAGACCTTACTCCATATACAGAGTATATTTGATTTGGTTTTATTGACCTTGGAGACTTTTAATCCTAACTTTTGTGGAGATAGGTAAACTATAATATCATTTGAAGAGTTCATTTTCAATTTCACACAAAACATATGAAGTAGAGCCAAGATTCAACCCTTAAACTTAACCAACCCAACCCAGTATAAACCAATACAGGCAAACTTTATCTGTCTTAAGACAGAGAGATTGTTTCCAAGAAGACCCATCGGCTTGTGTTTACTTAAGCTGGATTAAAAGCATGTAACAGTGAAAAATGGAAGTCCAACATGTTGCAAGGCACAATTGACCCATAAAAAGTGTGCACCTAAATCACATTCCAAAAATCAAGACTCTAAGGCCATCCTTTTACAGAGCTAATAGAAAAACCCAAATCCTTGGCAATGTACAAGCATCCTTGCATGTCATACAAGTCATTAAAGCACAAATGCTATGGATTCAGTAATTATAGCTCTGGGAAAAGGAATTCCCAACTCAAAAGCCAAAGAGAAAGAACAAATATGATGCTTTGAGAACCTCATTTGTAAAGCTAATCCACCTCCATATCAGAAATGGCTTCATTCAGGATTGTTTGAAGCTCTCTCACTCTTTGTCTGGACAATGCAATACAATCCTGCAGACATAACAAGTATTCAAATTTCTGTCAATTTCTTAGCATAGCCGGACTACTTTTCATTTCTTATTTATGTCAGTCTTAGCTTTTCTTGCTTTATTGTATGTCAAGGGATTGTTTACTTGCAGCTTGATGATCATAATGGTCTGGGCGGCCTGTTTGCTCAGCTATAACAAGAGTGTTTCTTTAAGGCTTAATATAGTTAAGCCATTATGCCAAAATGGCTATATGGAATAAGCCAGGACCTCACTTGTCCCCATTAAACCACCTCAACAAACTAACACCAGAAATGCACAACAAATAATCCAACCCTCTCTCTTTGCCTCCTTCAAACCCATCAGTCACTCGTCGCTCAGGCAAACAACTTAACCATACAGGGCTTAATGCAAAAAGAAGTAAACATCTCCTAATAGTTTTTCTTCCTGCAATTTGTGATTTCTTGTTTGTTTCGTTTTGTGTCCCTTGTGTGTCTCTGCTTCCTTTTTTGTTCATTGTACATGTTGCATGTTTACACGCTCCTATGCTACTTTTCTCCCCTGCCTCTGTTTCCTTTTTTCTTTTTTGCATGCCATAATTCTTCATAGAAACAGTCTATCTGGTCTTTAAACCTTAAGATAGAGGCAAGGTTTGTGTACATCCTACCCCCAAGACCCTACCTCTGTGCGGGATATACAAGGTTCGTTTGGTTTGGTTTGTTTATGGTATTATGAGAGATCATCCTTTCAAAGTACTAAGATATCATGCCGATACCATCTCACCAAAAACAAGAGGGAAACTGTTAAAGACCCTGACTAATTTCAGTGCTTCTTCCCAACAAAAGAATGCCTTCTAGAATTATATGACTTATTTGGAATAGGAGTGGATAGTGTAGAGCTTTTTCTATTTGGTGCCCGCCAGAAGTTATTTTGAGTCCATCGGATATTATAGAACTACAAGAAGGATAATCCAGAAAGGAGAAATTGCATGAACTACAAAGAGATATTATAGAACTACAAAATACGTTACATTTTCAGGCTATCTGCCCATCTAAAAACTGAAGTTGTAGACTGACCTGGATCACGGACTCGTAGGCAAGAGCAGGACCGCCTGGTTTGTAAAGAGATACCAGTTGACAAGATGAATCCAACACAATAGTTATCAGTGTTTCCATTATGGACTCTTCTTCTGCAGTAGGATCAGCCAGGATGTAATTCTTGTGAAGTATGCAAGTTAATGCAAATGGAATGCCCTTCAATTTGAGCTTCCTCTTTTCCTCGTTCACTGGTTTGTTTTTTAGCTTCTCTACCTCATTTTGCTTGGAAACAACCACAATTCTTCCATCATCATTCAATGACACCACCGGGATTTGCACTGCAACATAGCTTTAATTTAATGGAATTCCATGTGAATACAGTAATAAATCGGCACAAATCATAGGCATGAACCAACCAAAATTCTGGAAGGCAACTGATGACTTGAATAATCAAAACTATGGATTTCAGGTCTGGTGCTCTGAATCATTATTTCTTTTCTTTGTTTATCATGTTTTGGAGTATCTATTTATCTATTTTTGTTGAAGATTAAAAGCTCAAAGACAGATTTTAAAAGAACTTCAGTTATAAAGTCATGAGCAAGAATTGCATTGCCCACTCAGGCCACTCTTTGTGTTCTATTCATGTATGCATGGACCAACAAAACCTCTCTAGATATAACCTAATCTAATATTTCGATGTGACGGTCCTGAGGGACTCTAGCGATGAACTTCAAACAAAAGTTACAGAATCACGGGAAAGAATAAGATCAACTAATCAGCATGTTTCCCATTTTACTTAAGGGAGTCCAACAAATGCCGAACATAGAAAGAAATAAAGTTGAGCCCGTCAATCAGCAGTCTATCATCCATACAGAGTATCCAATTATAAAGAAAGAAAATGGAAAAAATAGTAATAATTTATCTGACATTAATTTTCTTATTGAAGTATATACTATTTATGTACAGCAAATTGAACTCACACACACTCTTCACCTTTGGTGAGGTTTGAATCCTAGGCCTCTAAGAAGGTTTAGTTACTAGGCACTGCTAGGCCAAAGGGGGGCAGTATGGAAAACTTTAACTGTACAACCATGGCACACAACATAGCCAACACCAGGCAATCCCAGTGGCAGCCTGGGAGCTTGATACATAACAATATCCCTAGATTGATAATGCAGAAATCCTCTCATATTCCTATTTAATTGACACAAGAAATTTCAAAAGGAACCCACACAGGGAGAAAAAGGGAAGAGTTTGAGGGTTTTGCTTGGTTCATTTTTCGATTTTGATGAGTAAAATCATGGTTTAATTTTAAACTTATAAATAGATTTCAACTAGTGATGAATAAAGTATCTTGTTGCATTATTTATGCTTTAGTTGGCTGATTCACCATCCAGTTTGTTAAAGACGAGTTGTGCAGGCAGAGGTGGTGGTGGGTAATGGTGATTCATGTGTCAAACCTCATTTGGGCTTCCCCATGGCTCCATTGCCTCCATTTATAGACAATGACTTTAGGTGGGCAGTGGGAACCACCATGGCGAAGAACGATCACTGTAAATTGGTGAAATCCCTAAACCGCTGAAGGCTAACAAACTAGAAGGAGGGTGATATTATACACCAATGCTATTTGGTTTAACGACTAGTAGTCAAGTAAGTTTGACCTTCTAGTGCAAAAATATTATAAAATCCCATGTCATTACTCATTATAGTAAGTTAATAGTTCATTCTAATTACAGCTACAGTAGGCCTATGTTTGTTTAACAAAATAAATAACAGCTTGAATAGTTGGTTTATGCTGCAGTTTCAGGAATGGCATAATAGTCCTTGGTTATTAGTTTTACCTAATACAAATCAAATAAGATCATAAAAATTGTAAAACATTGCTATTGGACAACCCTCCGGGGATTAAGTATCTTTAATGCACTTGAGTGTAACAAAGTGGTACTGTCAACCTCAAAACTGACTCTACCAACCGCTATGGCCTTCAAATTTGGACCCAAAGAATCTAAAATAATATGTAATGTTACAAGAATAGTAGAATAATTCTCTGAATTTATAAAGTAAGATGACCAAAGTTCGACATAAAAGTTGTCTTTTTGATTTTAATTGAGCAACAGTCGAATTGACCTTAATTGTACATTATTACGAGGTTAACAAGATGTATAACCCCAAAATGCAAAAAGTTGAATGAGAAAAATAGTATTTACCCTTTTAACCACATTAGTCAATGTTGAATGGTTTTTTGCAACTTGCAAGTTTATGCTGTAAAGAGTATATGCACTTGAGGTGTTTCGAGATATTATAATAATGTAAGAGAAAGTATCATAATGATAAATATGCCTAAGGAATTGAAAATATAGGCCTAGTCCTTATGGACAAGTAAAGCCAAATAAAATCAATAGTTGAACTTCATATATCATTAATAGATTACATGAGGGATTTTAGCAACCACACAAACACGTTAAATACTATGGTTGGCATATGACCAACCCCCGCCCCTCCTGTAAAAGTGACTTTTAAGGCATCAATTCCTTGACTCGTATGACAAGAACCATCTAAAAACTTTAGGCATGAGATTTACATATATTTTCAACCTCAGAAAGATTAATATGGATGGATGAGAAATGGTTTTGTAGGTTCATACAAGTTATGAGGACTTTTTGGAGTTTCAAGACACAAATAAGTCAGTCATGTAGCATGTGGGTTTGGGTAGCATGTGTATCCTTTCTAGTTACCTTTATGCGATATACTATATTTGGTTATGTTATTGAAATGCATGCAAGTGTACATTGAGTTTAGGAGGTATGACTGTGATGTGTTGCCAAGTCATGAAGGTAAATGTTGATTACAATTTACAAGTAACATTGGACTATCCAAAAGATGCTCCATGTCCCTTCACTGATGGCTGCTTATGATGCCTTCTACATTTGAACTAATATCCAGAAGCTGTTTCACAAAACTAGCTCAGTTTAATTGCATTGATTTAGTCATGGAACCACATGGAATTCTTGCATTGACAACATGATTTTAGATTTGCATTTCTTTAAAGCATGATAGATGATGTCCAGATTGATTTTGTCACTGAAATTAGTTATTTCTAGTTGGCCAATTAACAACGATAACTTCGTCAATGAAGCTAATAAGGTAATGTTAAACCATGCCTTGTCCTTGACAATGCTTACCTTACCTGTATACCTAGATTGAAACTTATTTGTTGATGGTTAATGATGATATTAGACACTAGTATGAAATCCAATTCTTTTCAGTTATGTTTTGCTTTTAAAAATTTTCTTGTTAGGCATTTACTTTCACTTAATGATTTAGTGGCACACAAATGTATGGTCTTTGGATGGTTTACTGAAATTGTACAGGCCGAGTCTTCATACCTTGTCCCTAGTGATTACTTTTACTCTGGAAGCTATTGACATGTAACATAGTTTCAGCAAAGCTGAACGGCTAAATCTTCTCTTCTGCGTTGTTTACTATTTTAAATGCTTTGCTTGTATGAATCTAACCCCATCCAGGTTCCATGGTTGAGAAAAGCAAAGGATCATATAAAAGAAAAGAGAAGCCGTACTTATAGTAGTTTATGTTGCCTCATTTATAAATTTAGGATATCTATATGTAGTTACATTGTTTCATGTACAACAGTACAAGCTCTTAGCCCTTGTGTAATGCATTGTCATGAAACATATAGGTATAAAGGTGACTGGTGTACAATTGGAAAATAAATGTTGATACATCACTTGATATCACTGCAGATGCAATGCGATGTGACTATCATGACAAACTCTCTCTGGAGCATATGGGCTCAATACCCGATTAAGTGAATTGAGTTTGGGTTACTGGAGATGGAGATGCAGATGGAGGAGCATGGCTATATGGCTATACTCCAAAGTTAGATAATAGTAAATGAATACAGAAATGTCAACCACTTACAATGGGAGAAGGCAGCAGCTGCAGCAAGTAGGGCAGCATCAAAGAGGGCACCATCAGCATCCAAACAGTATATATCCTGGAAAAGCAGCAGCTTTTAATTTGTTGAAAAAGAAGAGTTAATATCTGCACTCTAGTGCATTAGCCATGTGGCATGATACAAACAATCAGGTCACAAGCAAAATATTGAATGATGATCACTGTAACATTCTTATCCAAGAAATAAGAAATTGCTGGATAGAGAAAGATAACATGTAGAACAATGGAGAATCAAGCCACGAAAGTGAACAGAAAGAAGAGAGAACAAGATGAAACAACAGCCCTCCCACTCTCACTGAACCTTGTCACAAGAAGAGAGGAAGAAGTTCTTTTTATACAAATTAGAAGTTAGAAATTCATCTGAAATAACATGACTGGGTGGAATTCTTAGATAACAGTACCAGGTATGCCATCCAAGCAGCTTTGCCACTGACCAATGACAATTCTTTTAGATCAATCATCCCAGAACTGCAAGAAACAAATTCTAGTAAGAGACATAAGCACATCATAAGATCTTCATGCACATGCTTCAATCAGTAAAACCCGAGAAACTAGGATCATTAAACAATGATTACAGATTGCTTAGACACGATGGAGTAAGCCCAAAAGCAGACAAATTTTCACTTTCGTAACTTGTCAGGTATGGTGTAGCTCATCTTTTAGAGTAAAGAATCGAGGGCAATGGAAACAGCAGACAGAATTTCACTTCCATAACTTGTCAGGTATATTGCAACTTGCAAGATTTCTCCTTAATACGGTAATTCCTTGTGATTGATACACTTTTTCACTAACTCTGCTATAAGGCTTTGAAGTTGCCATGAAGATCAATTTACCACCCCTTGTAGAATTCATGAAGAGAAAAAAATACTAGCCCCAAAAGGCTAAAGCCAAAGGAATGCACATTGTCATGGTGATGATATCATTGAAAGATGAGCAAACAAAGAAAAACAGAACTAACAAAATCTGATGAAGACTCCATTTTTTCTAGTCATTCTTTTTCCAGTTCTTTTGTTGGAGTAGGGGTAGCTCAGAACAAAAATCTTTCACCAACTCTACCTGACATAGCACCAACTCAAACTTGCAAGACGTGACACAACACAATGAAATGGCACTGCTTTAACAAATAATCTTTCAACACAGCAGTTGATACAGTTAGTACTGAACATATATTCTTATACAAATTAAATAAATGACATAAGATTTTGTTAAAATACTTGAATCATTTTCACCACATTCATCGTTCTATTCATACACAGTGGTAAAGCCACAAAGAAGGAGAGGATACACGTGCTGCCACAGTTTATATTTTAGAAAGAGACGACTGCAGTTTATTTTGAGTTGACAATACCGATTCGTCTACTTGATATAGCGTCATGCATATCTTAGAGCATAATTAATTTACTTGACTTTTCAAAGTGCAATTAAATACCACTGGCATAAGCCTGTTCGGCCAGAATTTGGGGGGGGGGGGGGGGGCTACACCTCACCAGCTGAGAGTGCAAGAGAGGATCCAGATGCAGTCTTCAACTATCATGGTTCAGGTTTCATTCATGGTATAGTAACTTTCAAACTTAACAATATAAATTACCATTAACAACTACATCATCCAGTAACCTGTTTTCCTCAAATAACATACAAAGAAACCAGATATGGTCCAACATTCTAAAATATGCTAGTAACCCACTTCTGCCTAATCGACTACCCAGTTCTAATAAATCTCAAAGAGTGTGAAATCTAACAATTTCAAAAGTTATGAGTTCTTGCATGTGGAAAATATGATCAAATGGGTTACCTTAGGATAGTGTCAGATAACTGCTTGGACACAACAGGAGCAGCCTCGGCAGGCCTGCCAGGCCTAACAATAGGAGAACAAATTGCAGGCATGTGGAAATCTATGGCTGAAAAAGAAGGATATACCGCATCATATACAAAAGGGATAATATGATTAGAACAAAGAAGCAGATGAGATGTAAAACTAAAAGTGCATGGTAGTCAAACCTACGCAGCCTTCATCCGGTGCATCCGTTGCAGGTGTCATGACTTCCATTTTGATAGCAGCTAACATAGTCTGCAATAACAACACAAGAAAAGGTAACTTTAGTAAAGCTCCAACAAACCCCACCCCAACTTTACACACATCAAAGGTGCTATCAGAAGAACACAACCAAGATCAAATTAAAGTTTAAACAGCCATATCATGTCCGCAATGCATTTCTTTCGGTTGATTTTCATGTGTATAAGATAAACATAAAATTATTCATTAAGTAGGTGAAACAGGATTTACAGTGCAGCCTATCTTTGCTAGTGCTGATCCATCTGCAGATCCCACTGCCCCTAAATTACACGAATAAAACAATTGTGTTAATGTAGAATGTCGCACAGGAATACAGGATTGAGTAAAAAACATTCCAAATTAGACTAACCTAGAGCCAATGACGTTTCTCTGGCTTTACCAAGTGGCCTGGCATCAGGCCTCACGGACTCGACCAAATGACGCTCGTGAAATCGTAGAGGGAAAAGTCTTCTGAAAGCATCAACTTCCATCTCCGACGACAAGTCAGTCGCACCATTCGCAGAACCCCCCATTTTCCTTTCTTGTATAATTAAAGAACACACAAAAGATGTATCTAATAAACAACAGTTACTGAAAACCCTAAAACCACTGTTTCAAGAAAATCAAAAGCAATTTCTCAAAAACGAACGGATAATTTCGTGTACTTAAGAAACCATAACAATATTACATGTATACAATGAATATAATCTGACAAAAAATCAAACCTAGAACAAATAATCTGCGGAGACAGAGGTTCCGAAGTGGTAAAAAGAGCTGAAACTTGGGCTGTTCTTCCACGGTGTAGTGTTTTGGTGGTCTGTGTGTGCGAATGTTTAAAATAGGCGGGTTCCTCGGAATGGCCCAACATGTTTTCCAGGTGTACGTGGGAAATTTAGGGGTCAAAATTTGGGTGTTCAGAAAACATGTGAAAAACGGTCAATCATATCGTTTTTTTTATGGTTCAGTGTTTTAGCACTCCGATCTGGTTTCAGAAGAAACTAGTGATGAATTTGTGGAATTCAATGGAATACGAAGGATTCAGTTCATTTCAAAAAGCGAATCAAACAAAAAAATTGGAATTTGGTCAAAGGAATTTGTCATTTCAAATCCTTCGAATCAAACGGCCATTAAGTTTTTTATTCCCGGCTTCTCTCAACGATAATCACTTGCTTGTTACATGTCTTCTCCTTCTCTCGTTGATTGTCTTGTCATTTTTAGAGGCGGGCATGGTGCAGTACCATGTTCTTTTTTCCATATACCGTGTACCAATCGGTTATAATTGGTGTGCAAAATTTTATATCATTTACCAACCAACTATACGTGATGCCAACTGTTTCTGGTTGGTACTTGTTGGCACGGTTTGGTTTTGTACCAACATGGCAAAAACTGAAGTTACAAATTTATTTTAAATTGACATCTTTATCAGCTAGATTTAGATGCACTAAAATCATCAAACATTCAGATAACATAGTTCAACAAAATTTTAAAACATCTTAAATATATTAGTTGAAAGATAAATTCTTTTCTTATAAACAATAATCAAATTACTTAAAATGGCAATTTAAGATTTAGCATCAACGGATCACAAATCAAACCTTACATAAAGTCTATATTAGGGATAGGTGTATATAAAACTCAACAACGGTTGCTATCGCCAACTTATGAAAGATGTTCAAATGGCTAAATCCTCTTGTGCCTCTAACTAGCACTTATCACAGTGTCGTTAGTACCATTCCCAACGAGGACCTAATACACATTCGACAAATAAAAGGAATTAGGCTTAACGCCTAGTGAGTTCAAGTTGTTTTCATCTTTAATATAAAACAGTAAAACTGAAAAGACGCTATTTAAATCAGAATTTCCAAAATGAAATATATTAAATATAAAAACAATATCTTTCCCAAAACCCATCATTTTCGTGATGAAAACTTATTAGTCAAAGTACTCATTTACCATAACCAAAAACCATTACTCGCACAAAATGTGTATAAGGTCTAATATTTAAATACTGAAGACATGGATAAAACTCTATTATCCAAAATATCAAACATGGATAGGTTCCAATACACCAAAATCATAAAATCATGGAAAATACTCCATACTCAAAATAACACCAAAAAAATGGATAATACAATAACACCATTCTAGTGACAAGGGAGACCTATATCCATCAAATGTGGCGGAACACAAAAATGTGTCACATATCAACATTATCGAACTTCACCTCATATCCGCTAACTTTTGTGCATATTGTATCACGTGTCACCTCAAGTCCATAATACCTTCAGTGCGCATCCCTTATGGGTGTTACCTCAAGGTCACAATACTTTTAGTGCACATTCCCAAACTAGTGTCACCTTAAGGGTACCAAATCTTAGTGCAATTTGTTCTCTAATTGAGTTCCAATCTCAAGGTTCACATTCGACATTTAATGTCTACTCACTAGCATTCAAGATACGAACCTTAAACTTCCTACTTAATAACACAGTGGTTTAACCCTCATTCATAAGGTTCATTGTAACAACTCGTCCCACATTGATAGAAGGTGAAAATTGTTAGCTCCTTATAAGTCTTAAGCAATGGGCTACCAATAACTTCCACTATGGTTTTAAGTTGGATTCGAAATTATTGACCAGTCCGTTCTTTGGGCGTTGGGGGTGTTACAAATGGTATCAGAGCCGATTCTTACACCATTGGGATGGTGGGGCAAACCTCATCGGGTATGATGAGTCCTCAAGAGGGAGTGTTTGTAACATCTTTGGCCAATCTCACATTGTCGATAACAAGGAGAAAGATTCTGGGTAGACCTAGCGAGGACGTCAGGAGTTTAAGTGGGGGAGTTTGTAACAACTTGTCCCACATGGATAGAAAGTGAAAATTGTTAACTCCTTATAAGTCTTAAGCAATGGGCTACCAATAACTTTCACCATGGTTTTAAGTTGGATATGAAGTCATTGGTCCAGTTCGTTCTTTGGGCTTTGTAGGTGTTACATTAAAGCACCAAAACACATGCCTAATAGTCTGACTCCTCGCTTATTAAACATGAGTGATTCATATGTCTATGGATCCAATGCATTACAGTCTAAATTACATGATCCAACTGAATGATCAACATATTCAAAACATGTAATTTTTAAGGCAAGTGCAATTTATGCATATCATGTCCAAAGCTCAACATAGAGTAAATTAAGTTGGACATATGTCCTCAAAACTCAAATGAGTCAAAATCAAGCCAATACACTACACATTTTATTTAACTGCTCAATAAAATCAACATAAACGATAAAACACATTTAATCAATGTTTTAAGCAAACATATGCCCCAAATGACTAACTAAAAAGTCTATCATTTGCATTTTCCAAATTAAAACATACTATCTATATTTCTAACATGTCTCATAACATAAAAGTATGCCTTTTCCAAGTGGTTTATAAAATCAGGTACACTAAACATGTATTTTTATCAAATAAGGTTTATTCATACAATAAATCAACAAAGGACACATTCTTATCTTTTATTTATCAAAATGTCCCAAAAACTCAAATTTTGGTACTTTACAAGATTTATAAAATTAAATTTACCCAAAGATGCAATCTCGTCAAGGTATCACCCATTCAGTAAATATCAGATACTTTAATATATCAAACTGATCATTTTTGTCATGTACATAGTTTTCACAAAGCAACTTGAATCACTAGATTCCAAGCCTAATCTTTAGCTTCCATTGGTGAAGGCTTTAGGTCATCGGGCTAAACTTCCATATCTAGGATGCAAAGCTCTAAGGTAGCGTTTGGTACGCAACCATGATTGGATAGGACTGGACATGATAGAACTAGACAAGACTGGACAAGACAAGAAGGTAGGATGGGACAGGACTGAACAGAACAAGAGTATGTCTGGTGTTTGGTACGACTAGAACTGGACATGACAGAAGTAGACAAACTATCCCCAAAGTTATTTGATGATTTTAAATATTATATAATAGTTATAATTAACACAAATAAAGTAAATAATTTAATTTATAAATATTTGCACACAATTTTCATATAAATGAATACATACATATATAATGGTACCAAATTTGAGTGAAATTTTTTATATAAATTGATGTTAGTGGTGGTGGTGGAGGTGGTTTTGATTATGGTGGAGGTGGAGGTGGTGGTGGCCGATGGTAGTAGTAGCAATGGGTGGTGGTCGGTGGTTATGGAGGTAGAGACAATGGTGGTGGTGGACGACGGTGGTTATAGAGGACATGAAGATGGTGGATTATGGTGGTGGTGGCTGTTGACAACGGTGGATGAGGTATTTGTGGTTGATGTAGTGAAGATAATGGTGGTGGTGGTTATGGTGGATGTGAGGTGGCAATGAATGGTGGTGGTCGGTGGTGGTTGTGGAGGTCGTGGAGGAAGTTTTTGCAGTAGATGAGGAGTTGGAGGTGGCCAATGGTGGTAGTGGTGGTGGCAATGGATGGTAGTGGTCGATGATCGATGGTGGTTCTAGAAGTGGCAATGGACAGTGGTTGTGGAGTTCACAAAGGAGGTTGTTACGGTATATGAGGATTTGGAGGTGGTGATATGTACTTCAAGCTCTTATGATTTGTAAAGATGTCACAAGTCTCTTCATACAAATAATGGCGCCATATTTTCAAAGCAAAGATAACGGATGCCAACATGTCAAATGTTAGTGATAAAAATGAAAATGTTTGTGATAAAAATGAAAATGTTTGTGATGCAAATGTTTGTGATGAAAATGCAAATGTTTGTGATGCAAATGAAAATGTTTGTGCTTGTGATGGTGAAAACATTGATCATGCTTCTAGTGATGTTCGTTTGAATATATTTGATCCAAGAATTTGGGATATGTTAAGTTCAAAAATGAAAGATTTGCTTGTTGAAAATGACCTATTAGAAAAACTAACATCAATTTTCCTAGAGATAATATAGGTAGACACTTCTCTGTTGAATTTTATGTTCGTAAGCTACGCAATGGTGATTGTCATGATAAAGTGGTTAATTTATTCAAAAGAGCTAGATAAGGTCTTTTGTTTTTGTTGCAAACTTTTCAAAGAAAGTCGGTCAAAAAGCCAATTAGCAAGTGTTGGATTAAGTGATTGAAAACATCTTGGTCAACGATTAAGTGCTCATGAAAATAGTCTTGAGCACATGACTAGCTTGGGAATTTGGTCCGTATTATGATTGAGATTGAGTAATAATGGAACACTTGATAAAGAGTTACAAGATTTAATAAAAAAAATGATATTGATCATTGGAAATAAGTGTTGGTTAGAATAATTGTTGTTGTTAAATGTCTAGCAAAGAATAATATGACTTTTCGTGAGAGAAATGAAAAACCTTACGGAGAATCTAATGGTAACTTTTGAAGCTTAATTGAAATGATTGTCGAGTTTGATCCTGTTATGAAAAAACATCAATGTATCAAAGAAAAAAACTCATTATCATTATCTTAGCCACAAAATTCAGAATGAATGAATTGACTTGTTGGCATCTGATGTTAAGAGTGCAATCATTAAAAAGATCAAAGAGGCAAAATATTTTTCAGTTATTCTTGATTGTACTTCGGATGCAAGTCATCATGAACAAATGACTTTGATTATAAGATGTGTTGATGTGTCCAATTCTTCTATACAAGTAGAAGAGTTCTTTTTAGAGTGACTTTTTAATGTATTGCAAGATGTTTTGAAATCACTTGATTTAGATATCAATTATGTGCGAGGACAAGGGTATGACAATGGCTCTAATATGAAAGGGAAATATCAAGGTGTGCAAAAAATAT